CACACACACATTCACACACACACACTCACACAATTCACACACACACACTCACACACACACACTCACACACACAATTCACACACACACATTCACACACACACTCACACACACACAATTCACACACACACATTCACACACACACTCACACACACACAATTCACACACACACACATTCACACACACACATTCACACACACACATTCACACACACACACATACGACACACACACACAAACGCACAGCTACACACACAGACACACACACAGACACACACACACAGACACAGACACACACACACACACACACACACACACACACACACGGTGCAGAAATAACCAAAGACAAGGTGGAAAGTGTTGAGAGGTGCCTTGGGATGAAGGTGTCATACCCAAGGCAACTGGACTCCTGTCCTGGGCCTCTTGGCCCTATTCTGGGTCCAGGCTGTCACTAGGAGCCAGAATTTGGGAACCTAGCCTGATGCTTCATCTGTTTGTCAGCATAAATATTCACACACTCATTTGTTGGAGTTGCCCTGACTTTGGGTAAGGGAAGCCTTCGGGATTTAGGCCAACAACTGTTGAGCACCTGCTGGATGTTAGGGAGGACCATCACAGAACGCGGCATGCAAGTCCCCTGGATAACAGATGCCTCCATTCTAGGGCCATCATCTCAAGACTTTAGGACTCAGGGCCCATCTTTTGGAGGTTCCCGACACTGACATCATGAACATAGACAGGATGACTCCTATCATGTATGGGGCATCTGTAAATTACTAAATTCCTGTTCTCTGTGGACAACACAGAAGCCAGACCTGTGGGCTCAGGTGGTAGCAAGGAGAGGAAAAGGGGTGGAGAGACAGTGGGAGTAAGGGCAGCTTCATGCTGAGCCCAGGAGAGGAGGGGCTGGCCCCACACTGAGATTTCCTGTCTGTTCTTTGCTACCCGGTAGGCTTTCTAAGCACTTTCAGCCCCAACGATCTTTGAACTGTAAGGCAAAATGACACCACTAAACTCTGCATTTTGGTCAGCTGCAGTTTGGCGTATGTCCCTGCCCATCCTCTCTCTGCCTTTTCGCATCCCTTGCTCTATGCGGATTGCTTGGGCAGCATTTTTTTATTGCGTGACTAGTGTCACAACCACCACGGTGTTCGCCTCCTCCGTGTCTTCCACAGGTTAGGACCAGACACTTCTAAAAGGGTTTGTAAGAGGTCGACTGACAGGAGCGGGGACAGCGAGGGCACCCACGACCCGTGTCCTGTCTCCATCTCCCGGGCCGCAAGGGCTGTCACCAGCTCCTGGAGATGGAATCTACAGTTACCCTCACCTGGGGTTGCAAAGCTGAGCCCTGCAGAACTCTGGCTGCCAATGGATACCCACCGACGGTCACCAGGTTGGTCACCGCGGCAGCTGTGGCTGCTGGGTCCTTTTACCCAGCCATAAACTTGAAGAAAACCTGACCCAGGAACACACTCCACAGGAGCGCTGCATCCCTCCCGTTAGCACCTTTCTCAACTGTGCCCTTTTCAACCCTTGCCTCCTCTCAGTCAACAACTTCCCCACCCAGACATGTATCCTCCCCGACTCCAGCTGGGGTCAGGGGTCTTCAGGTCGCTGCATCGCGCGGACCCCCAGCGCTTGCAGGCTCGTGCTCTCGCCCGACTGTCCCCGGACGGACTGTCACTGCGCGATCCAGGTCCCGCCCCACGCAGAGTGGCGGCTCCGCAAGGTCTTCCCAGTCAGTGTCCCTCCTGGCCGTTTCCACCCGAGCCCTCGGGTTGACAATTCTCCTCCACCCCTCCCCTCCAAGTCCCCTACCTTTGGCAAACAGGGACTGTCGCTGCGCGCTCTGGGTCTTCCCCTCCACGCTGGCTGCACCGCACCCCTTCCCAGCCCGGCTGGGTCCCTGTTTAGCCCTATAGATCGGCTTCCCTCCGGTCCCCTCCCGCAGTCCCCCCAGACTGTTGCTGCGCACCCCGGGGCCGCCCCT